TACGGATTAGTGACGCGCTAGACACTAGACATGTGCACCGGCAAAAAATTAGTTTCGTTTAATTTTGGTTTGATTCTGATTTTGCGTTATTTTGGTTTTCGGGATTCGGAGGAAATCCGTTAGCGGTAGCCTATACGAATGTTCATTTCCGTTTCATGTTCGTACATGTTTCATTTCATTTTTTTTTTATTGTCTTTGCTGCAATGAGAATTCGCCCACAAACGAAAATGCGTACAGACTACCGCTAAAGAATTTTGACTGGAAAACTATTTTTTTTTAATTGGACGCAGGGCTTAGGGTTAGTTCACACCATAAGCAGTGAGTTCCGGTCCGATTCAGGCCAGAACGCACTGCCCGCATTGCGACCAACTCACTTATTTGCCGGGCTTGAGGGGGTGTGACAGGCCATTGAAGTGAATGGCACTGTTGCCACTCGCTCCGGCTGCAATGCGATCGCCTGTAGGAATTGCAAGGCACATTGTGACTGCAGTGCGTTTGGGTGCGGTGCGATAAAAATGCTGCAAGCACTATTTTGACCAAAACGCACTGCAGGCACGATGTGGCTTGCGAACCCGTGCGGGCGATCGCGTTGCGGCCGGAGGGTGTGGCTTTGGTGCTTATTAGCGACCCCCCCAGACTCTGGGATTAGCCCCCCCCCCCAGACTCTGGGATTAGCGACCCCCCCAGACGCTGGGTTTAGTGACCCGCTGGACGCAGGACTGAGTGACCCGCTGGATGCCCAGACGCTGGGTTTAGTGACCCGCTGGACGCAGGACCGAGTGACCCGCTGGATGCAGAGCTGTGACGACACACTGGACGCAGGGCTTAGTGACAACGCGCTGGACGCAGGGCTTAGTGACAATGCGCTGGACGCAGGGCTTAGTGACTCCCCTGGATGCTGGGCTTAGTGACCCCCTGGATGCTGGGCTTAGTGACCCCCTGGATGCTGGGCTTAGTGACCCCCTGGATGCTGGGCTTAGTGACCCCCTGGATGCTGGGCTTAGTGACCCCCTGGATGCTGGGCTTAGTGACCCCCTGGATGCTGGGCTTAGTGACCCCCTGGATGCTGGGCTTAGTGACCCCCTGGATGCTGGGCTTAGTGACCCCCTGGATGCTGGGCTTAGTGACCCCCTGGATGCTGGGCTTAGTGACCCCCTGGATGCTGGGCTTAGTGACCCCCTGGATGCTGGGCTTAGTGACCCCCTGGATGCTGGGCTTAGTGACCCCCTGGATGCTGGGCTTAGTGACCCCCTGGATGCTGGGCTTAGTGACCCCCTGGATGCTGGGCTTAGTGACCCCCTGGATGCTGGGCTTAGTGACCCCCTGGATGCTGGGCTTAGTGACCCCCTGGATGCTGGGCTTAGTGACCCCCTGGATGCTGGGCTTAGTGACCCCCTGGATGCTGGGCTTAGTGACCCCCTGGATGCTGGGCTTAGTGACCCCCTGGATGCTGGGCTTAGTGACCCCCTGGATGCTGGGCTTAGTGACCCCCTGGATGCTGGGCTTAGTGACCCCCTGGATGCTGGGCTTAGTGACCCCCTGGATGCTGGGCTTAGTGACCCCCTGGATGCTGGGCTTAGTGACCCCCTGGATGCTGGGCTTAGTGACCCCCTGGATGCTGGGCTTAGTGACCCCCTGGATGCTGGGCTTAGTGACCCCCTGGATGCTGGGCTTAGTGACCCCCTGGATGCTGGGCTTAGTGACCCCCTGGATGCTGGGCTTAGTGACCCCCTGGATGCTGGGCTTAGTGACCCCCTGGATGCTGGGCTTAGTGACCCCCTGGATGCTGGGCTTAGTGACCCCCTGGATGCTGGGCTTAGTGACCCCCTGGATGCTGGGCTTAGTGACCCCCTGGATGCTGGGCTTAGTGACCCCCTGGATGCTGGGCTTAGTGACCCCCTGGATGCTGGGCTTAGTGACCCCCTGGATGCTGGGCTTAGTGACCCCCTGGATGCTGGGCTTAGTGACCCCCTGGATGCTGGGCTTAGTGACCCCCTGGATGCTGGGCTTAGTGACCCCCTGGATGCTGGGCTTAGTGACCCCCTGGATGCTGGGCTTAGTGACCCCCTGGATGCTGGGCTTAGTGACCCCCTGGATGCTGGGCTTAGTGACCCCCTGGATGCTGGGCTTAGTGACCCCCTGGATGCTGGGCTTAGTGACCCCCTGGATGCTGGGCTTAGTGACCCCCTGGATGCTGGGCTTAGTGACCCCCTGGATGCTGGGCTTAGTGACCCCCTGGATGCTGGGCTTAGTGACCCCCTGGATGCTGGGCTTAGTGACCCCCTGGATGCTGGGCTTAGTGACCCCCTGGATGCTGGGCTTAGTGACCCCCTGGATGCTGGGCTTAGTGACCCCCTGGATGCTGGGCTTAGTGACCCCCCGGACGCTGGGCTTAGTGACCCCCGGACTCTGGGATTGGTGACGCCCCGGGCTCTGGGCTGAATGACCTCCCGGACTCTGGGCTGAGTGACCCCCCGGACGCTGGGCTGAGTAACCCCCCGGACTCTGGGCTGAGTGACCCCGTGCTGGATGCAAGGCTTAGTGACAATGTGCTGGACGCAGGGCTTAGTGACAACGCGCTGGACGCAGGGCTTAGTGACAATGCGCTGGACGCAGGGCTTAGTGACAATGCACTGGACGCAGGGCTTAGTGACGACGCGCTGGACGCAGGACTTAGTGACGACGCGCTGGACACAGGGTTTAGTGACGAGGCGCTGGACGCAGGACCTACCTGACAGTGACCCTGCAGAGCCCACCATAGATGCTGCACAGCCCATCTGAGACTGTCTATGGTGGGCTCTGAAGGGGTCTCAGGTGGGCTGGTCAGGGCTGCATCCCCGTCCCTCCCAGCTCATCTTACCTGCACCCCATGCCTCCTCTCCCGTCTGACTGGGTGGAAGTGATGTCACGGCACTAATGTGACCTCACTTCCGGTCAGTCAGCATTCAGATGAGCAGCGGGCCGCTTGTTTCGAAGCCGCTGGAGCAGCAATGCTGGGGCCCTGCGCTGCTAGGGCAGGCCGCTGCTGCGGGGGCCCGGCCGCCTCCTCGCCCGTCACTGTCGGCCGATACTCATGTAGGGGTCCCGGGTGGGCCCCACAGGCTGCCCGGGCCCCTTGCATGAGTATCGGCCGTACCCCCCTGATGGCTGTTGGGCACTAGGTCCATGACCAAGTGCCTGACTTTCCAGAGGGAGTGACACCAAAATGGCTGTCAGTCATTTTGGTGTCACCCCCTCCAATGGTGTCACAGAGCTACACCCTCTCCCAGTGACACCACTGCAACCTAGCAGTTTATGGGTAAAGGCTTCTGGGGCCCAATTTTTTATTTTATTTGTCAGTGGTGTACTTCTGTTTTAAAGGAAACTAGTACTAAGATGAAATACAGATATTGTAGTCTGGCCACCTTCTAGGAATGGTAGTCTGAATGTTCAGGCCACAGCTGCTTATACATTTGAATGCCTTCCCTGGTGGGCATCCTTGGGAAAGAAGTTGCAGCATGAAAATGGTTTTGTAAACCCAAACTAGGAGATTGTGTCAACTTGTTTCAATAAAAGTCCAAGAACACTAATGCTGGAGACGTTAGCTAACTTGTGTGGAACATGGCTCATTTATAAAAGGTAAATTACAACTTTACTGTCACTATGAATCTTGGATTTGTACTGGCTTCTGAAGCCTCTGGAAAAAAATGCCAGTAGGATCGATCATGGTCATGAAGTCACGCCTTTTGATGTAACGTACGTAGGGTGGGGCATAGGAGCTGGATGATCGTTTACAGCGTTGATGGCTGTTGAATGTTTTCTATCAGATGCTTATCTTTTATCTATGGAATGTGAGTAGTTTTCAAACAAAGTATATTACTTTCGTTTACCATCTACACTACGAGTGTTCCTGTCTTTTCATTGATACATGATCTATTGGGACGAATGTGCTGTCCAAATACTGGAGGCTGTCACTAGGGGTTTGTAACAGTGAGGAGGAATTGCCAGGAGGTATTCGGTGTCAGGTGCTTTCTCTACCTGGCTTTAAAAGAGGAACAGCGAATACAGACCCTGACCCTAAGATGAGGTGCATTCTGTAAGATTCCTCTGGTGACAGTCATGGGAGATTGGGACTATTTCTCATCCACTTAAATATCTTCTGACTATATTGTTGGATATTCAAGATGGACGTTTGCTAGGCTATACTGCTGATTCGTTTGTGCAATATCTTTAAATTGTATCACATTTCTCACTGTTAGTATTAGTTGCATTTGACACATTTGTAGTTATGTGCACATAGCGCGGCTTTTAATTGTACGTTTTAGGGCAAGGTTCACACCATTTTCCGGACCAGATCTGGAACGCAGTGCATTGCATTATACCACGATTTTGCCATGTTCCGGAGCTGGGGTGTTTTTGTTGTTGCTTTTTTTTAGCTGAAAATTGGCTTTCAGATGCATTCCAGTGTGTCCCAGTGCGTTCCAGTATGTTTATATGCGTTTTTGATGCATTTACATGCATTCCAGACCAGACAAAATGAGACATGCAGTATTTTTCTGGTCTGGTCTGGAACAGACTGCACTGGTGTGAACAGAGGCCAGAAATAGCATTGGGATACATTAGGATGCATTTTGGGTCCGGAAACAATCTGGTTTGGTCTGGAGGTGATCTGGATGTGATTTGAATGGGCCCTTACTGACATGCTGCTTACATCTGGACCTAACCCATCATACTGAGATTTGTTATATGCTGCAGGTTCAAGAACCATTTCACAGGTGATAGTGTTATTGCACTTATCCTTTACAGAGATATACTCAATTTCATGTTTTTTTTCCTTTTTTCCCCCCCCGCAGAACTGTTGGTCAATGTTTGTCCTCCTGTGGTAAAGACTTTTGAGAATAAAGCATGGTGAGAAACATTGATGATCTGGAATTCTGCCTCCCCTCTCACTCAGACTCTATACTATCGGGCCTGCAGTCTCTTCGTTTTAACCCTCAACTCTCAGATGTCACCCTTCTTATTCAAGGACGGGAGTTTCCTTGCCACCGGGCAGTGCTGGCTTTGTGCAGCCAATATTTCCTTGCTATGTTCACTGGAAACTTCCAGGAAAGCATCTCTGCTCATGTGGAGATCAAAGAGGTAGATGCAGACCTTATGGAGACACTGATTAATTTTTGTTACACTGGCCGTCTCACCATTAACAAGGACAATGTAGAGGGGCTTATCCTTATTTCCAACCAGCTTAATTTCCCTGCTGTGCGAAAGGTGTGTATACGTTATTTGCAACAACAGATGGATGCCACCAATTGCCTAGGAATCTGGGAATTTGGTGAAACGCATGGCTGCCCTGAGGTGACAGCAAAGGCCTGGTCTTTCCTACAGGAGAACTTTGAGACAGTATACCAAGAAGAAGAATTTCTACTTCTGCCTCATGAGCTTTTGCTTCGGTACTTGGGTGATCCCCTGCTACAAATGAGAGAAGATCAGAGTCGGGCAAAGGCAGTACTTCAGTGGGTGAGACAAGATGAAAAGACCAGAGCTCCCTACCTACCAGAGCTTCTTAGCATAGCCAGGCTGTCAAACTTGACTGACCACTGTCTACAAGAGCTGGAATCTGAACCGTTGATCAGTGAATCTGAGCCATGCAAAGCTCTGATCAGAAGGAATCTCGGAGAGGTGTGTAATGATAGATGTTTTGGGTCACATTTACTTAATGCAATAAAATATAAATAAGAAATTATTGACAGAGTGATATAACCTCTGTGACCTTTGTCACTAATTTTATATCATCTAGTGGTTTAGGAAAAATAATATCTGATAGTCAGGGGTTTAGGAAAATAATATGGGATATTTCCAGAGGGAGAGGTACTATATGTTTTACATAGAAAAGGTTAATTTACAGTTCCTTCATTTAGTCCCAAGCAGCCTTCATCTTTAACAAACTATTAAAATGCACTTATGTTTTAGCAACAATCTTCAGAGGAGTAACAGATACTGGTAACTAAGGGATATGGCATGTTGCAAGGTAAGAGTCTCCAACAACAGCGGATGTGTGATCATAAAGAGGTCACATGTTTGAAATCCAGCCACCATATCCAAAGAGTTGGGTGAAGGGGCAACATACTGTATCATGCATAACGGGGACTTTAATTGTTTGTAAATGTGTTTGGCAAGGCATTAGATTTATTTGAATTTACAGTTTTACAACCTTTGTTTGGACCAATTCACATCCTTCTCAGCTTGAGAAGCATGCAGCAAAACATTAAGCTTTGGCATGAGTCCGAAATTCCTACAAAGCAAGAACATTTAAATAGTTCTTCTCGATATCTCTGATCTGTTGGACCAGATGATTGGTCTTAGCAACTCTCCGGGACATTTTGTGCTTGGCAAGTCTCACAATTTGATCTCTAATGACTTGTGTGCTGCCCAGAAAACCACAGCTGACATTTGTTCAATAGCATTATTTTTAAAGGTAATCTTCTAAAGCATCAGAAATTGAAGCAACTACTTACTGATCAGAAAGTAAGAATTCATTGAGTCTCCAAGAATTGTAGAAAAGATGGTTAGGGAGGGTTCGATAAGGGCATGATATGACCATAAATAAAGTGGTCAAAAGATCATTTAAAAAAAACCTGGTGTGCAAACATAGAAAATGTAAAGTATTTTCTTGCAAGATATTGTAACTGCTAAAAGTCTACTTGAGACATATCTTAAAGCAATTTATGTAGTTTGTAGGGACAGAATTGTGGAATGTCAATGAGCTAAAATCCCCACCTAAGGTTTGATATAAAATTGCATTAAAATCTTCCATTAACATTATCTGTCCAATACAATAGTAGACTATTGTACCATATTAGCCTTCAAATAATGCATAGAATTATTTGGAGCTTAGGTGATATTGACTAACTAGGGCTAGGTTCACACCTGCACAACACCCGGGACGTGCGTCCCGGAGCCACGCAATCGTGTGCTAGTGCACACAGCGGTTTACGCGCGGCCCCATTGGTTTCAATGGGGTGACATCTGCGCGGCAATCGCTAAAAAAAGGTATATGTACCTTTTTTTTGTGGCACATGAAGCACGGCTTTTATAGCCACTATCGTGTTCACTTGCACGGACAGAATCACGGCAGGAAACCGCGTGATCCGCCCGGCGCGATCGCCTGTGGTGGGCGGCTTTGTGGACCGCTCGGCAATCCACGTGGTAAGGAGTCGCCCAGGTGTGAACCTAGCCTTAAAGTGGATGGAGTAGGGAAGGGTTAAAACTCCAGCCAGGTTATTTTTGTGCTGTGTACTATTGGAGAATTTTCCCTTCACTTCCTGGCTCAGCAAAGCAACAGGACAGACAGGATCTCCTGAAGTGAGGAGAATTCCCCTCTAGACAGTTGTCCCTGGAAGGGATGTCCCCATTGGAAGATTCCCCCTTACCTCTTGTCTAGAGGACAACTCTACAATTTTGGGTTTCTGCTCACATTCTTTCTTTGACAATGGTCACCACTCACCAGTACAAATAGAGGGGTAAATCTTTTAAATGGGGACTTGACAGAGGGTTTAACCTTTCCCTACCTTATCGGGGGAAAAAAGAGTTTTGCCTGAAAATACAGTTTCAGTTGTTAAAGGAGAACTATGGGGTCAGTGTTTTTCCCCATAGTTCTCCTTAGGGTAACGGGAGGACACAAACTAGCGTCCTCCGGTTACCATAAGCTCAGTATACCGCGAGCTACAGCTCGCGGTATACTGAGACGCCGCAGCGGATCCCGACGTAGATGACGGGATCCGCCCAGCTGCGTGAGTGACAGCTGGCTCTGCCTATCTAGAGGCAGAGCCAGCTGTACCCACCCCCTCCCCCGTCCGTTCCGCCAGTCAGCGCTGGCAGATCGGAGCGGGGAGAGGGGAATCGAGCCCCTCCCCCTGTCACGGCAGAGAGCCGTGACAGGATCGAGAGGTGAGCGAACCTAGTATGTGTTCGCTCACCTCCCGATCTACTGAGCCGACCTGTGACAGTCTCATTGTCACAGGTCGGCTAGAACTATGAGGTGAGTGGAAATCACTCATCTCATAGTTCTCCTTTAAGGATGCAAGTTTTCAGGACCTCTTTTAGGTCCCTTTCCGATGAAGGAACATAAAGAACATCCTAAAATCTTGCATTTTTAATAACTTAAAACTAAACACAGGAGTTAAACCTTAAAAATGCATTAAAATACCTTACCTATTAACAGAAATGTATTGTATTTGTTTATCACTCGGCTGTAGAGCCTCAAATCATCTCTGAATTAGTGCTGACACTGTCCTTCCTTCTGGAAGGGGGCTACTTTTGTTCCCCATGGTCCCTGTGTGTGTTTGCTCCCATGATGGACTACAATCTCACGTTTAGTTTACTAATTTGTATTGAGATTGGATTGGATTGAGATTCTAGTTCATCACGGGAGTGAGCTTGGAGTGGTGGCTACTTTACCACACACACAGGGACCATGGGGAACAAAAGTAGCCACCCCCAGAGGGAAGGACAGTATCAGCATGAATTCAGGGATGATTTGAGGATCTACAGTCGAGTGATACACAAATAAGATACATTTCTGTTAATAGCTAAGGTACTTGAATGGATTTTTAAGATTTAAAGGAGAACTATGGGGTTAGGGCTTTTCCCCATAGTTCTCTGAAGGGTAACGGGAGGACACAAACCAGCGTCCTACCATTACCCAAAGCTCAGTATACCGCGAGCTGCGCCTCGCGGTATACTGAGACACCGCAGCTAAAACGGATCCCGACAATTATGTCTGGATCTGCCCAGCTGCGTGAGTGACAGCTGGCTCTGCCTATTTAGAGGCAGAGCCAGCTGTACCCGCCCCCTCCCCCGTCCATTCCGCCAGTCAGCGCTGGAGCATCGGACAGGGGAGGGGAGAATCCAGTCACTCCCCTGTCACAGCTCTCTGCAGTGACAGGATCGAGAAGTGAGCGAGCACCGGTATGTGTTCACTCACTTCCCGATCTACTGTGCCGACCTGTGACAGTTTCATTGTCACAGGACGCCTCAGATTATAAGGCTGAGTGAAAAGCACTCACCTCATAATTCTCCTGTAACTCATCCTGTAACTAGTCTAGTGTCGCTTTAAGTAAGCCAATAAACAGTATCACCTAAACTCCAAACTTTCTCCATCTTTCCAATACAGAAAGACAACTTTGTAACTTGCAACTTTTGATGAAATACTACCTGGGGTTTTGTAGGAGCATATACTGTATGTTCCCTCTATCTTCCCAATGATTGCAATCATTCTTTTATCAAGGTCACAATATACATGGACATCCTGAACCACAAATTGGAAGCAGTTAGCTAAGTAAATCCCTGCTTACTGCAGTCCTATCTTTAGCTGTGACGTAGCATTTGGAGCACTTGTTAGCAAAATAGCTAGTGACAGATTAAGATGGACTTGACTAACAAATTAAATCTGATCTCCAACTAACACTTTATAAGCAATCATAACAATAATTTTCATTTTACTTTTGGGATAATAGTTTTACATAGATGTATAAAAGCTGACCATTGTAAGCACCCCTGTCAGTGCTAAATGGTTTGTCTCAACCTTCTATCTGCCACTTTTGCTGGACAGCTTAATGAAGTTGAAAAATAACAGGTTTTCTGGCTGGATTACCAGGTGAAAATATAGGAATAAAAGGCCTTAAAAAGGAAATCTAATGCAGCCACCACATCTAAGAATTAATAAACTGCAATAAAATTGCAGAAAATTCAAAAATGACTTGGCCAGCTGATTTGAAAAATGTTCCGGAGGGCTTGGCAGCGAAAGGGTTAATATTTGTCTTTTTGGTTCAGATAAACTTTAATGGATTTGTTAGGCACTATAAAGCAGTTGCTAATAAATACATTTAAATATTCAACTATAAATACCCATGTCTGTTAAGGTCTCATTCATCCAGGTCATGGTATATCTGTAAAAAAGAAGTCAAGGTAACTGGACTTGCTGTATTTTTCTTGAAGACGTTTCACTGGTCATTCAACCAGCTTTCTCAATTCAGAATGACTTGTACAAAAAAATTATCTGGGAATAAATATGGTGTATTTCGCTCCAATCCACATAATCTGTTAGCAAAACACAAGATGAACAATATTGTGTAGGCCAGGGGCGGATCCAGAGTCTATTCTCGGGAGGGGCACTGCCAGAAAATTAGGTTTTGCTTACAGAACGGTTAATATTTTATTTAAGATGGTTTCCCGGCCAACTACAATTAAGCAGGCCAAACCACATGCAGCCGGCTTCCCTGGCAATCAGGAAGCCAGGCGGCATGTCATTACCCGCTGCTGACTTCCTGATTACCAGGGAAGCCTGCTGCATGCCAGTGGAAGCACCGGTATTGGTATTCAGTATCGGCGAGTACCAAAAGCAAAATATCGGTACTCGCACTTGATACTGAAAAAACGGCATTGTTGCATCCCTAGTTTTGATTAAAACTATTTTTTTGTATTGGGACAAGTAGATTGTCATGAAGGGCAAGTAGATTCGGCCCCCACTTTATCCCTTGGACAAGTTGTTTTAAATTTTTTTTTCCACACCCCTGATGCACACAACAATGCAGAATAACATCAGCTATAGAGGACTACAAATCCCAGCAATAATACATTATACAGCAATGAAGACTGCCAACAGCTATAGAGAACTACGATTCCCAGCAATACCATTATACAGCAATGCAGAATAGCATCAGCAATAGAGGACTACAAATCCAAGCAATACCATTATACAGCAATGCAGAATAGCATCAGCAATAGAGGACTACAAATACATATTATAGCAATGCAGAATAATATGAAGCTCTAGGTTCGCCGCCTGATGTCACCAGGGTCTCAGGAGGGTTGTGCGGGCTCTCGCCAGGGGTCCAGAGAGTTTCACAGGTGCGTGTGGGTACAGCAGAGGCGGCTCCCTAATTAGGCTCTCAGGTGGTCAATGCAGACTGTCAGGTGATCAGTGCAGGCTCTCTGCTGGTCAGTGCGGGATCTGTGGTGGCCAGTGGAGGCTCCCTGGTGGCTAGTGTAGGCTGACCATTCATCCCTGATTTCTGGGGACAGTCCTGACAAATTATGTCCCCGGAAATATAAAATAAAACATTTTTGTTTTTTAATACTCACCTGATCCCTGGATCCACCGACAAGCCCAGCCTCCCATCTCCCCCGCTGTCAGAAGTTGCCTACAGAGCGTGCTGGTTACTACTTAAACCGGCGTGCTGTGTGCAGCTTCTGAGAAGATACGCTATTAGCATAGCGAGGAAGCCGGCTGTGCATTTTGCATCGCTCCCCCCCGGATCCGCCACTGGTGTAGGCAGTCCAGTGCAGTGAGGAATGTTCATAATTGTATGTCGGTGAAACAAAACAGCAGCTACACCAGTGTATGGCACAGTATAGAAGAGCAAAACCCTGTGGTCAGGATTCGGCAGTATACCTACATCTAAAGGAAAAAGGCCACTCCTTTGAAGATAGTATAAGCAATGTAAGTGGGCACTCTGACACATGCTGGAAATTAGAATGTTTGGCGTCCCTGAAAAAAGCCTGCTGTCCCGAGATAGGTGCATCAGCACTGTGTGTGTGCAAACACACTAGCAGCAGGTATTATTGCATTATAAACAGCGGACCGTGGTGGCTAAATGGTCTTACAGACTGTTATGTGTAGAGTGCAATGTTCACTGCATCTGCCTGTAAAACATGCTCCCCAGACATCCTTCAAGCTTAATTTGGTGGGCCTGTTTCTGAGGGAGACTGAGCCTTCAACAACAAGCCCTAAGGTCACATGACCTTACTGAACTTTACCTCACACTACACAGATACTGTGAGGGGACTTAAAAATGCCACTCTCATGAGGGAAGGGTGGCATTAAGACAGGCTTCCCTCCTTTTCCCTCTCAAGGCTATGACACACTGCAGGCGAAGCGAAAAAATCGCAACCTTCCACTTCGCACCGCACCTTGTCTACACTGTAGTTTGTCCGGGCACAGCGCATATAAGCGATTGGGCGTCTCTACAGACGTCTGAACGCTTGTACGTAAACAGCCATCGCTGGCTATTTACATTCAAAGCCGATTTCCCGTTCGTGCGCGCTGCCTAGCGGCGGGCATGAGCGGGGCAGGTTGTTTATTCCCAGATAATTTTTTGTACAAGTCATTCTGAATTGAGAAAGCTGGTTAGATGAACAGTGAAACAAATTCAAGAAAAATACAAGTCTAGTTGCCTTGACTTATTTTTTACAGATATAGATACCCATATTTTCCAGGCATAATTAAATATAAATCTTTGCCTCTTCAAAAAATACTGCTATGGAGAGGCTTTTTACATTAATAATGATGTAATGTGGATGTAAATTAAGCACACTGTGAACTGCGGTGAACTTTGACAGCTCATCAGTATTGACAAGTGTTATGGCTGAGCGCACATATCATCTGTCTATGCCTCATGACCTGGGTCACTCTGCTTTCTTTTCACTCCCAGGACTTAAATCTGTTGTAACCTGTCACATCTGAGTCACCTTTCACTGGCGTGTTAACCTGCTGAACTTGTGCCGGTTGTGTCACGCCACATCAGTGTCAGCTCTGGCACCTCAACAGACATTATACCTGGATAACCTCACAAGGTTCATGTTATCATCAGACACCTAACTAATCTCCCGAAATATATCTCCCCTCACACAGCACCTGTGTGCATCCATTATGTCTCGTGTCATATTCCTCACACCTGTCACCTTTCAAAAAGTGTGTCACTTCTCACAGCTAGGACTCTTTTGTTATCTGCGCTAACGCTGATAATTAGAGATGTCTTTTGTCTGAACCTGCAGGTGACAAAGGGACATACAGAGCTGGCCACTGTGTCTCTTCAGCAGGTGGTGGTGGTGGTAGGGGGCAAGGTGCTGGAGGAGGAAGAGGAGGATGATGATGAGGATGAAGATGATGAAGCACCTCCCAGAACATTGCCAAATGTTGCCTACTATAATCCTAAAACCAGTGAGTAAAAGCACACTTTACAGTATCAGGCTAGCCATGGCTATTTTACACAGTATAATGATTTCCATTGGGTGGGTTCAGACATGGCTGAGGCCCTGGTCTCCATAGTCTTACTCATAGTAGTTGATTATGGCTTACAGCTCATGAAAACCCCAAGAACCCCAAATCCACAACCTAAAAAAAGTAGATTATTACATGCAATCAATAAAACAAGGATTGTACATAGAACAATATCGGACCTCTGAAAAGTACAAGCATGCATATGTACTCAGTACTTGGTTTGGGCCCCTTTTGCAGAACTTACTGCAATTACTTTTGCACGATATTCTAATTATTCGAGTTCCACCTGTATTAGGGCTGCGGAAATTAACGATTAATCCCTCGATTAATCGTTAATTTTTTTGATCGATCAAAATTCTTTTGATCGGTACTCACCTCTCCGCCGGCTTCTGGGTCTTCCGGGAGTTGCAAAATGTTCTTCTAGCTTCTCCTTGTTGGTACCACTTTGCCTGCTTTTTGCTGCCCTGTCCCATTTTTTTAGAGACTTGTTGCTGCCATCAATTTCAAAATTACCTTATTTGGTACATTTTCTCAGTTTAAACATTTGATATGTTTTTCTGTTTTCTATTGTGAATACAATCTGGGTTTATGAGACTTGCAGATCATTGCATTCTGTTTTTGTGTAGATTATTTTATGTGGGGTTGTAGTAACATATTACACTATTGTCTGAATAATAAGCACAGACAATTTATTGCAGCAATATAGTTCTCTGTATCACCTTTAGTCGGTCCATGAAGTTGGTGTTACCTAAACAAAACCGTTAACAGTCCATTTACAGGCACAGAACATGTAGATGACAACAAACCACAGAAAGTTCCATGGCTTTCCGGTTTAGTGTCCATTTAAACTGCTGTGTTATCTATGTGTTTAGAGCACACTATTGCACAATGTAAGGCACACTTGGTGCACTGACAGGTGCATTGTTATTCATTCTGAATGGCACACCAATGCGCAATGCTCTTCCTGGCATGCAGGTGTTGCATTGTGCTGCAATGCATGGCACTGCAATGCCATGTGGTGGGAAACAGTAATGCATGCCACACCACATCCACCACATGACAAGGCACAGTATTGCAGTACTACATGTTGCTGCACAGTGCAACGCCCGTCTGCCAGGAGGTGCGTTGGGGTGCCATTCAGTATGAATAATAATGCAATGCACCAGTCCGCCAAGTTTGCAGTGTATTGTGTTGTGCAGTGCCGTGCCTTTATACCCCGATACTCAAGCCATAGTACGTAGCAACCCACATCTCACATGCTATTCCATCCCTGGGGAAACTTTGGTAGCATTACCAACTTGACCCATCACCACACGAACCTGCATTTTGGATTCCTCCCACTTCTTGTTGTGTCTTTGGAACAGGAAGAGAAGGGAAATCTCCCCAATGAGACATTGACAAGGGTTTTGCCCATTTTGGATTCTCTATTAAAATAACAGTTTTAAGGTTAGATAGATTATAATTAAACTGAATTTTATGATTATGTTGCTTGCAAAGTGTCAGCCATCTGACATGGCACTGTGACAGCAGCCTCATTTGTAAACACGTGAGGGAGAATTTATCAAAACTTGAACAGACAGAATCTGGAGCAGTTGCCCATAGTAACCAGTCAGCTTCTCTCTTCAGTCAGTTAAGTTAATCTTTGAAAATGAAAGATTGAAGCAGATTGGTTGTCATAGGCAACGGCTCCAGCTTCTATCTGCTCCAGTTTTGATAAACTCCCCTCAATAACTTTGACCAAAAATAATAATTACATATCCGATTGTTTTGTTTATTTTAATCTGCAATGCACCTTTAGCTTGTTTATCAAACATTTCATAGAGCAAACTGTTTAGAGTCTTTACATTTTCCATTTGGTTTTTAATATGATTTAAGGTATGAAATAAAATAATGGTTTTACAAATAGTCAGCCTGTATAACCATATGTAATGCTATACTGGTGACCTTTTAAAAAATTGGGGTTGAGTCACAGTAAAAAGTTTTTTGTTTGTTTTTGTTTTGGGGGGGGGGTTGTGATTTTTAGGTTGCATGCTTTCCCCGTTTATCATTTGTTGTGGAGCTCCCTTTTGTTTTGTTTTTTCTTGATGTATAAAAAGAAGACGGCATATTTATTCTAATCTAGCTTCAAATGTGAATGACGGCATATTTATTCTAATCTAGCTTCAAATGTGAATGTATACTGTTACTTGATGAGTATGTATCATGGGTACACGTGGGGCATCATTCATGTGCTCTCTAATTATGGCTCTGTTGGTGTCTATGTGTTGTGTTGCCATTCTAACATGGTCTTATGTCTATGACAGAGATGTGGATGGCTCTCCCAGATTTCCCCGATTATAATAAATGGGGATTCTCCGTCACCTCCTTGAACAATGACATCTATGTTACAGGTCAGTATGACAGCAGTTTGTGAAGCATAAAGCTTGCCATGTGCATTAGCTGTATGTCATTTGTTTGAAAAAGATGCTATCAATGAAAGATCCTTACTGAACTTGTCATATCACTCATCCTAAAGACTCGTCTCTTCAGGGAAGCCTATCCCACCTCCAACTGACCACTGAACTATCTCTAACTCACACAATTCATCCCAACACTGCTACCTCCTCATGTATCACTAGCCTCTCCCTCTTAGATTGTAAGCTCTCAAGGGCAGGGCCCTCCATACCATCTTGTCTTGAATTGATTTGTAATTGTAATGTCTTCCCTAAATTGTAAAGCGCTGTGCAAACTGTTGGCACTATATAAAACCTGTATAATAATAATAATACACAAAACTGTTTTAAGCATCAGATCAGATACCAATCAGATACTGCATACAGTCTCCTTCAGACCTACCACTAAGGGCCTGCCTGAATGGATTTAAATTGTTAGGATAAATTAGGTAGGCCCACATGTTAGATCTAAAGTGGTGAACCTTAGGCACAACTTTTATATTTAGACCTTTAAAATGATTAAAAGGTTCCCTTAAACCTAATACTGCACAGTTTTTAGAAATGTTAACAATAAATAAAAGATAGGAATATGTTTTCATTTATCTGGTTTGTTAAAACTTTGGTAACACAATAGTAATCTACAATTTAGGTTTTCTCACTATCATTCCCTTCTATTTTCCAGGAGGCTCTCGAGGTTCTCGAGATGATTCATGGTCCACCCGTCATGGCTGGTGCTTTGTATTGAATGAAGGATTGTGGAAGCCATTATTGCCTATGATAAATCCACGTACCAACCACGCTAGTGCCTCTTTAAATGGGGAGGTATATGTCGTTGGAGGTCAGATATCAGATTGTAAAAAAAATCATCAGCGTTCCCTTACTATTAAAGTAAAACCACAGGTCTTTAATCACATTCTGTCTATTCACAGGGACTCTGCAGGAAGCAGTGGAGGTGGAGTGTTATGATCCCTACAGTGGCACATGGTCAGCAGTAAGCCCCGCACGGAAATATGTCAGCAACTTTACTGCTGTTGGCTGCAGTGGAAAGTTGTATGTGGTTGGTTCTTGTGCTGTAAAGTACAATGCACTAACCCTTCAATGTTACAATCCATCTATAGGTATGACAACTCTCCTAGTTTTACCAGAACTAGTTATGCTTGTGCTTTTTGAATCATTGACTTCTGTTTAAGTATTATTATTTACTGCAATAAGCTAGGTAAGACTATAATATCTGTATATTTTGTTTGTAAATATAAATACTTTCCAGTTGAAATTTATTATATTAAAAATGAAACCTAATTGATAACGCCAATCCATGGCAGCATACAATGGGTATGGCTCCGCCCCCCACCCAATCACAGGACCAGTTATACTATAAATTAAAGCCCGCCTCCCAAGGCCACCATTCTTTTTTCTGTCCTCACTGCTCAAGCCGGTTATACTAAGGATATGTTGGAGTTTTTTTGCCCTCACCTTGCCGGTTTCTTCTGGCCTGCCGCACAGGTTCAGCCTCTCCTGTTGCGAAGTTCCCTTTGTTCAGGTGGCTAAATGCAATCTTATAAGGGAAGCCTCCCCCAAAGCCTTGGAGTTGGGGTGCAGGAAATGGTCTCTAGGGGTCTCTCCATGTGTGGATGCTTCCTCCATCTTGGCGGCAGGTTGAACACCTGCTTAGCCTCCTGGCCTGGTGACTCCAGAGAGGAACCGTGACTCAGCTGCATCATCACAAGCTATGGTTGTACTGGGATGATCACACGCATGGACATGCTGACAAGTAGGATCCACTCCATTTTCTTTCAATGAGTTTGTTTCAGTAATACATGTGCTGCTATTTCCTATGGCCTTGCAGTGCTGCTTTGCTCTGGCTGAATCTTTCTGAATATTTTTATGTCTGTAGATCCCTTCAGTTTTCCATGTGTGGTTCTGTGGTGCTGCTAATGCCTTAGCTGAATCTTGCAGGTATTTACCTGAAACATCCATTAGCTTGCTTGTGGTGCTTTAACCCTGCAGGTGCTTGCTGAGTGCAGGCTGCTGCCACTTGTAGCTCTGCTGCTAAACCTTTAAACTGGATCTTACAGAAATGTGTTTGTTTGCTAAACTCTGTCAGCTTCAATCTTGTACCTGGACTCTTGGGGGCCTTTCATGTGAGTATTTTGCTGTCACCTGTGTTTCCCCAGCGTTGTTAGTGTTTAAAATGTAACTTATGGAATTGGTGCTTCATTTCAGGCCTATTCTGCCTGTTACTCAGTAATCTTTTTATGGTCCTATGTATACAGCATTGTGTTAGTGACAAGAGCCTGTTGTGCTATAACCATGAGCACATGAGTATGTGGCTTCCAGGTTTTCAGCGTGGCTGTTAGTGTTTAGCAGGTTCTGACAGGTGCTGTTTAATCACATCATTATGTTCAGTTTCTCTGTGATAGCAAAGGTTGGATCATGTGTTCAATTGCCAAATGGCATGACCTCCTTCCCCAAGAGACCAGCTACATTCTATAAGGTGAGGGTCAGGTATGTATGAGGATAAAAAAGAGTGTGCAAATGCATGGGCATAATGAATTGTAAATCTTTTCAGGCCTATTGACAGCACTGTTCCTCAGAGTGCATATGCAGGGGTTAATGGATTGTAACTCTCTCCAGCCCTTTGCCATCACTGCTTCTCAGAGCGAACTTCTGGATTATCACCAGTACTGCTCCCCAAAGACAGAGGAAGATGCTCAATTTGGGATGAAGAGTCCGGTTCCTGTGATTGGGTGGGGGGCGGAGCCATACCCATTGTATGCTGCCATGTATTGGCGTCAGGAAAGGAAAATTACCGATAGGTAAGTATACAATTTTCCATAATATTAAAAATGAAACCTAATTGATAACAAAAGTCGAGTCACTGAAAGACTGAATGTTATTAATTTAGTTATGCATGAAGGTCTGGGCAGTGTGGGTCATGGAGGTCTGCGCTGATGTGGGTCGTACAGGTGATGCAAGTCATGAAGGTCTGTGGTGATGTGGATCATGAAGGTCTGTGGTGATATGGGTCATGAAGGTCTGTGGCCGTGTGGGTCGTGAAGGCCTGTGGTGATGTGGGTTGTGAAGTTCTGTGGCTGTGTGGGTCGTGAAGGCCTGTGGTGATGTGGGTCATGAAGTTCTGTGGCTGTGTGGGTCATGAAGGTCTGTGGTGATGTGGGTCATGAAGGTCTGTGGCGATGTGGTTAATGAAGGTCTGTGGTGATGTGAGACGTGAAGTTCTATGGCTGTGTGGCTCGTGAAGGTCTGTGGCAATGTGGGTCATGAAGGTCTGTGACGGTGTGGGTCATGAAGGTCTGTGACGGTGTGGGTCGTGAAGGTCTGTGGCGATATGGATCACAAAGGCCTGTGGCAATGTGGGTCATGAAGGTCTGTGGTGATGTGGTTTGTGAAGTTCTGTGGAGGTGTGGGTCATGATGGTCTGTGGTGATGTGGGTCATGATGGTCTGTGGTGATGTGGGTCGTGAAGTGCTGTGGCGGTGTGGGTTGTGAAGTTCTGTGGCGGTGTGGGTTGTGAAGTTCTGTGGCGGTGTGGGTCATGAAGGTCTGTGGTGGTGTGGGTCATGAAGGTCTGTGGTGCTGTGGGTCGTGAAATTCTGTAGCGGTGTGGGTCTTGAAGTTGTGAAGGTCTGTGGTGATCTGTATCATTAAGGTCTGTGGCGATGTGGGTTGTGAAGGTCTGTGGTGATCTGTATCATTAAGGTCTGTGGCGATGTGGCGCAGCCTAACTTTGTTCAAACTACTAGCAATAATGTTTTTTGGGAAATCAAGAAAAAAAAAATAGCAGAAGTGCAGCCTGTTTGTATTTGGATACTGCAGGAAGGAACAGATCCCAGTGTGTATACACCCTCAGCTGGTGGGTAAACTGTAAGCAGTATATTACTGCCTGGAGCAGTATTATCATTATGTATGTTTACTGTGTCTACAGAACACTGTACCTGTGAACTATGAGGTCTCCTTCACACTATAGCACATGTGTTAGCCATGCATTTATTACAAATATTGCAGTGTGGTTTTTTTGGTCCCTTTTTTGGACTTGAATACTATTATGATGTGTGTGTCACCCTGCACCAAAATGCAACATACCATTTTTTGTTCAGTGCACACCAACACAGTGCACTGGTGTGAACTAAAACAACTGGCCTTAAGACTATTTGCCTTGTTCTTGTACTAGGACGACATTGGGAAATACAGTCCAATGCTGCTTGTATGAACAAGCCCTGCCACTGAGAGTCATGAAGGTTCCGATCACACAGCTTCAATCTATACACAACGCTGTGCCTACAGTTCTATGCTAAGCACTGTTTTACACACACTTTCAGCACTGAGAACTTTTAGTAAAACTCTTTCCTCATGTTTACAAATCTCTGCAATGAAATTTATTGTGTAGATAATATCAATAATACATACCATGCCAATGCCTGAATGAGCCATAATTTTTACTGGCTTTCAAAAACACTGCACAAAATGATATTCAAATATTATGGCTACACATGCCTTTTTTTGAGTTGATGTCTGACTGTTCCTTACAGATAGCTGGAGTGTCATCGCATCGCCATTTATTCCAAAGTATCTCTCCTCTCCTCGCTGTTGTGCACTAGGAGGCGCTGTCTATCTTATTGCTGACAACACCAAGAAAGTTTACATGTATCGTTTAGAAGCGAACCTATGGAAGAAGGTGAGCATTACCTAGTGAAGGCAGAACTTGCTATTATTGTGTCTTAGGTTGGGGCCCACTAGACACAGGCAAATAGATGTACCTTTACAGCAGTATCTTCCTTCTCAGTGCTGTCAGGGCAGTATAATACACATACTGTATGTACAGGCTGCATTACCACCATGGCAAACACACACTTTAACGCACTCAGAGTGTGGTCCGCAGCAGCACATAGAAACGGTATGGACCTGTGATCTACTGTACAATTAAAATATATCTGTTTAATATTTAATATCTGTAGAAGATCTTCATAACTCAGGCCCTCCATCTCCCTTACTAATTTTGTGCATTACTTTACTTTTGCAAATTATTATTACAATATACTGTACTTCAAAGGTTTATTTCACTTATCTTGATCATAGTAAGTTAAAGTGACACTAAACTCAAAAATTAAATCTTAAAAATGCATTCAAGTACCTTAACTAATAAAAGTGTATCTGATAGACATGTGCACCGGCCAAAAAAAATTGTTTTGTTTTCATTCGGATTTTTTGTTATTCGGGTACAAAAGTCAATTCGTTTCAGGATTCGGCCAAAATTCGTTAGCAGTAGTATGTACAAATTTAAGTTTTGAAATTAATTTTCATTGCAGCAAAGTGACATTAGATAAAAGGTGGGGGGGGGGGGAAGCGTGAGGTTCCCCTCCCGATTCATACCAGACCCTTTAGGTCTGGTAGGAATGTTAGGAGTGACCCCCCAAATAAAAAATAAAAAAAGTGTGTGGGGTTTACCCCCAAAAGCCACACCAGGCCCTTTAGGTCTGGTAGGAATTTTGAGGGGGAACCTCACCCCCCCCAAAAAATGGGGGGGAAAAGTGGGATCCCCCTAAAATTCCTACCAGACCCTTGAGCCGAGCATAGGCTCGGCAGGGCAGGAAAGAGCGCACCATCCTCCCTGTGCCTTACCAGGCCACGTCCCCTCGGCATTGAGAGGGTGTCCCCATGCTGATGGGGTCAAGGGTCTCTTCCCCACAACCACGACCCGGTGGTTGTGGGGGTCTGCGGGCAGGGGGAATTATTGCAATGTAATCAATGTAATCCAGCGTCAATCACGATGAACGACACCTACCGACCCGCCAAAATTAAAAACGTCCCGTCACACGACAACCAGTCTGAACCCGACGAAGACTCACCGCAAAATGACATCTTTGGCCAGAACGTAAACAAATGAGTGAAGCGAACCCTGACGTCACGGCTCCTTCCGCTTATTTGACATTCTCAGCTGTCAAATACTACAATTGCTTTCGGGAGCTCCCGATTGCCATTCTGGTCTGTGAGCCGAAGTTCCATATGAATAGTATTATGACACCTCGGCTCACAGACATGAATGCTATTGTGTCATTGGACAGCTGAGAATGTCAATGGGCGGAACGAGCCCCGTGACGTCATGACTCCCCCTGCCTATTTGACATTCTCAGCTGCCAAATAACACAGTAGCATTCGGGAGTTCCCGAATGCCATTTGGGTCTGGAGTCTTTGTCGGGTTTGGATGGGTCGCCATGCGGCGGGACTTTTTTTTGTTTTGTGGGTAGGCGACCGTTGTTATTGTGATTGACGCTGGATTACATCGATGGACCCATTTTCTTTCTTTTTTTTAATAAAGGAACTGTCAAAAATTGACTTTGGTTTTTTTCAATTAAAGGATTTTTTCTAAAAGCGTGGTGTTTTTTGTTTTTTTTCACCCTTTAGTGAATGAGTAGGGGTACATGTACCCCTTACTCATTCACAAGGGGGGCGGCATCTGGGTGCCCCCTTACAGGGGTACCCTAATGCAAATAAGCCCCCCTGCCTGCAGACCCCTACAACCACTAGGTCAGGGTTGTGGGGAAGAGGCCCTTGGGATGCCAAGGGCACGTGGCCTGGTAAGGCGCAGGGAAGGGCGAGCGATCATTCCCCCCCCCCTCCTGCCTTGTCGGGCTTGGATTAAGGGTCTTGCTGGTCTGGAGGGGTTTTTTCCCCCCATTTTTTGGGGGTGGAGATCCCCCTTAAAATACCTAACAGACCGAAAAGGCCTGGTATGGCTTTTGGGGGGAACCCCACATACTTTTTTAAATGTTTAACTTGGGGGGGGGAGGGGGGCTCACTCCTAACATTCCTACTGGACTTTAAGTGTCTGGAATTAATCCGGAGGGAACTGCGCGCTTTTTTCCTTCTGCGGACTATAAAAAAATGTTTTTCCCTTTTGTCTGTCAGTTTGCTGCAACGAAAATTCGAACACACTACCGCTAACAAATTTCGTCCGAAATTTTCATTATCAGAAATGCGGGTTTGTTAGCATTCGTCATTTCTGTCATTCGAACATTCGGATACATAATGAAAATTTGTCAGAATAACAAATCTTTCCAAAACGAATCGCACATGTCTAGTATCATCTTTGTGTATCACTCGGCTGTAGATCCTCAAATCATCTCTGAATTGGTGCTTATACTGTCCTTCCTTCTGGAGGGTGGATACTTTTGTTCCCCATGGTACCTGTGTTTATTGTGAAGGAGCAACCACTGCAAGCTTCCTATCGTGATGGACTACAATCTCAATACAAATTAGTAAACTAAACGTGAGATTGTAGTCCATGCCGGGAACAAGCTTGGGACCCACGGACATGAATAGGGTCGTACTTCTACGATAGAGGTTTTTTTTCGGTGATGAGGGAGCATGGAGCCAGCTTCCCAGCCTATCAGGAAGCCAGGCAGCGTGTAATGACTTGCCGGCCAGCTTCCGCACCGGGCAGTGAATCATTACCCGCCCCCCCCCCGGCTTCCTGATTGGCCAGAAAGCCAGCTCCATACCCAGAGTATGGAGGCAGCTTCCCAGTTAATCAGTAAGATGGGCAGCAAGTCATTACATGCAGTCTAATGGGACTTCTAATGGGACTTTCGGTATTGGTGAGTACCGGGGAAAAAGTATCGGTATCGGTGTACCCCTACTTTCTACAATACTCTACTACTATTTATTTCAATAGAAACATTGTATGTGCACAAATTTTCTGTTTTTGTTCTATCTAAAGTTTTATGTCTTATCCATCACTAATGGAATCATACACAAACAGTCAATTATATTGTTTCTTAAACTGGTGAAATGACACATAGCTCATAAGGATTTGATATGTCTTGTTCAGGTGCAGCTCCTGCATACCCTTCATGAGAATGGAGGCATGACTTCTGTGGGCTCACAAATCTATGTGACAGGTGGCCACTGGCATGGCATGGCACGTGAATATAATGTGGTGATGGAGTCATATGAGAGCATTACTGATACTTGGACTCGGGAAGGGGCCCTGCCAAGCCGCTGGATGTACCACTGCACATCTGCCATCTTCATGGACACCTCTCGTTGGCCTAGCATATTCCAAGGACAATCAGAACTTGAGGTTTGACAGGACATATACTCAATGGAATGTGCAAGACAGGCTTTATCACTCACTACTGAACTTTCTACAATATGGCTTCTTCCGGCGGTCATCTGGAGAATATCCATTTACTCATAATCCTACTCATTTGTAACTATTTTCAGAATTGTGATGCCTTCTAATGAATTACAACGGGTGAATTCCATTGTTATCAGTGTTAATCTAATCACTGATGTTATATTTACAGTGTATGCTTTTATATTTTCGATTTTGAAGTATTTAGTACTACGTAGAACCCACTGAATAATATATGGGTATGTGGTTTGTACTGCTAATAAACCAAGGGTAGTGTCACACAAATTTCAATACGTGAACATAGAAATGCTCTGAAATGCTATTATATTGTGTCTTTTTTAACTAAGGTGCGTATTTAAAAAAATTTTTAAAAAAGGAGGGCATTTGAGATTCAGCTAATATTTACTGCAAGTGAATCTTCCAGATGCGTGTGTTTTAAAGAAGAACTCCGGGCAAAATTTTTATTAACCCCATGGAGTGGGGCTACCCCCACATTGCAAGGGTTAACTGCTTATTTTGGTCTAGGGAGGAAAATAAAAAAATTATACTCACCTAATCCTCCGAGGTAGCTTGCTCTTAGGCCTGGTTCACACCTGGGCGTTTTACAGCGCGTTCCTACGCTCTGTAAAATGCTCAACATGTGAAAACCAATGATTGCCTATGGGCATGGTTCCCACCTGGGCGTTTTACAGCACGTAGGAACGCGCTGCAAAACGCCCTACACCCAAAGAAGTACAGGAGCTTCTTTGGGGCGTATTTGCCGCGCGTATCCATTGGGATACAGCCAGGTAGCCCTCGGAAGCGCGCGTTTGTCACACGTTTTTTTAACCGCGAATCACGGTAAAAACGCGCGACAAACACGCATATATACGATACGCCTAGGTGTAGACTGGTTCCTGGAGCCTCTCTCTCCCCAAGCACTGCAGCAGTTTAAGGTTCTGAGTTGTCATGTTCTATACACAGTGCATAGGATATGCGGATGCCAAGGGACTTACCATTTTTTTCAGTGGAGGAGGAGACAGGCTGGAGGGAGCGATGTCTCAGCAGGCCGGCTTGGAGGATTGGATGAGTATAATTTTGTCATTTTCCTTTCTATAGCTAAACAAGCAGTTAACCCTTGCAGTAGAGGGGTAGCCCCACTGCAAGGGTTAAGAAAACTTTTGCCCAAAGTTCCTCTTTAAATTACACAAACTGATTCACCCCCAGTGTTTGGAGAAAGTCACATCCACTGCTTTATAAATAGACTCCCACAAGTTTGAGAAAAAGAGGTAATGTTCCAGCCTAGACGAAGGCTATTCCCCAGGTCCAATTGCTCTCCTGCATGGTCTCCCTGTCACACCTACACTACAAGCAGCTGTTGTGATGCACAGCTATAGTATCCTGTTGTCATAATCAGGAGATCCACCCTGAGAAATTATGTTTAGCAGTACCTGGAGTGCATGTAGACAGTAAGTATATGCAGGAGATCAGCAGTGTTGACATGCGACAAAGGGTGATAAAAGGCAATTTTCAAAACACAGTGAGTGCTTTAGTAATGTAAATGTCATTCAGTTACGCTTAACATTGCCTGAGCCTGATACAATAGCTGGAGTGAAGACAATGTATAAAAAAAAATTTAAAACATGCCAAAAAGTCAAATCGATGAGTTTCAAATAATTGTCTTTTTTTACCAGTTAAATTCTACAACGTTCCCGAGAATCCCCCTTTTTCAGGCCTTGGACTTGCAGGAGAGTAGAGGAATGTATTTTAGTCTGTGTCTGTGATTCTAATAATGGAGTCCAGATCAAGTGGAAGCTTGAGGCAGCAATTCAGTGCATGGCATTTATATTGATCAATATAGACGCTGTGCACTGGACCTTCAATGAAAATGTAAGGTCTGGGAGCCCCCACCCACCAAATAAAAAAACACTAAATAAAAGTTGAAAAGTAAACCATGTGGAGAAAAATCATATCCTACTACCCTTTAAGGTGCCCATACACTGGCTGAATTTCAGACAGTTTTTAATGTACCGGCCAAAATTCGCAGTGTGGGGCTGTTGGCTCCCTTTCAGTCGGCATTCCTCGATCAGCTGATCAAAGGAGACTGTTGAAAAATCTTCAATTGATCAGAGCCGCAGCCAATGAGCTGCCCGCTGTGATCGGGTATTCTGACAGGTGCTGGCACCTGTCAGAATACAATGCAGACAGTGAGGAATCCTCGATCAACACACTGTTTGTGTCGATGGAGGAATCTCGTCAATTTGTTTCGTTGAGCCCGCGGGCTGAACAAAAAAAAAAATTGACAGGTGTATGGCCAGATTTACTCCAAGCTGCAGCTGTCATTTTCTCCAGATTGCACTTGTTCTTTCACAATGCAATGGAAAGACTTTTGTAGACTACTCTCTAGTCTGAACAGCAGGAACACAACAACCCTGAAAGCAATGCTTTTAGTTAGACCTCATTGAAAACTGTGTCTAGTTCAGGAGAACTCAGGTTCAAGAAGATATGGATAAGATAGTATGAGTCCAGAGATGGGCAATAAAATGGTGAAAGGTCCGAGCGATAAAAAATATTGGTAGACACTGAAGAACTTAATATGTACAGTTTAAATACATGAAGAGTGTCAATAAGGTTCAGGATGGCAGTAGTTTCAATATGAAGCTAAGATCAAGATTACGGGGAAATTAACGTTAGCAAGAGGTAAATTTCATTTTAAAGTATTATTTTACCAAAAAGTTACATTGATTATTGGAACAGACTTCCAGCAGAGGCAGTGATTGAATCAACAGCAAGTGACCTTTAACATGCTTGGGACAAACATAGATCTATACTCAGACAAAAAGGTAAAAAAAAAGGGCAAGACTCGCTTTTGCATCCCTTTTCTATGTTTCTAATTCTGCCAATGTATTTTCTCATCACACTGACCATGGATGTTCCTATTTTATGCACCATAATAATGCAAGTTGTATTGAATAATCACAGGGACCAAAATCATGTCTCTGCAGCATTGGAGTAGACGGTGGACCCAACAGGAAAACGCAGCTATAAGAGCCTAATTTAGAACATATTGAACAATAAACAGTTTATTTGTATCATTAATTCTCCTGTTTAATACCTTTGACATGTCACAGGAAACGTTTGTCACCTTTGTTATATTTTCTTCTGAGTCACATAATAGAAGCTCATAGAGACATGAGGCCTACTGGCAGATCACTTCATTAATTTCATGGCTGCTACACTCTTGCCTTTTGACATAAGTAAATTCTGACACCGTCTTTTTTTACCCTGAAGGTTGTTTATTTTGAAACTAATCAGTTGTCATGTACTCACAAGGCACATTCTGGCCTTCACAGAGTAAACAGAATTCTCCTCAGGAAAGACACTATGGTATTCAATGTCCAAGTCAGAACTAAAACAGATGGATATATGTACCCAGCAAAGGCGGAGTGTCTTTCAATGTGTACACTGAAATAAAAGAAAATCACCTCAGAATTAAATAGCACAGGCAGGTTTCCTAACTAATGCAGAAGGAGTCCTGTTTCATCTGTTTCCCTTCAGGAGTGCTCGAATTAAAAAGGTATATTGGTCACAAGTAAATAACGAGCCCTGTATGATATTAGAGACCACCAGAAGAAAGGAAGAGGGTGTAAGATGTCTGTTAGTCCAGACTGCATTCTCAAACTTTACACACCTTCAAGTTTCCTCTAACTCTGTTTCTTAGAATAAACTCGAAATTATACTCTGAGCGTCTCAATGTGCGTGTGTGGGGCGTAGGGTACACTGGACTGTTATCTAAGCTAAGAGGACAACGCAGCCACAAGGAGATACTGACAGAGAGGAGACAGCAGCTCAGAGGACCGACAGAACACACAGGACCGACAGAACACACAGACTAGAGAAGCATCTATTTTTTTTTTTAAACTAAAATTTGATGTCAGGCAGTTATCCTTTGACTAGGGTCATTGCACAGATATATAAACAGCATTTTAAATATAAGTGACTAGCTACATCTGACTACCAGGCTTAACAATGCAGACACTTGCTTAGAACTTTTTGCACATACACCTGGACAGCATACACATATTTGTATAGATTACTGTATCACATTCTGAACTTAGGCTATAATAAAGGATCAGCCATTAGAGGTCACTGTCAGTGTCCCAGTGTAATGGATGCACATGGAAAGCCAATCCCACTGCGCTGTTTGTTAATGACTATTAGTATGGGTGTGTTACTGGTTCTTCTCTGTGCTGGACCTGCCTGTACCCACAAAAACCGGGGACCAAAGTTTCAGGTACGTGCTTTGTATGAATTCACATGACAAACTATAGTTCTTTATAATGTTAATATCAGTTTTAATCAGTTTGCCGTGTAATTATTAGAGCCAGGGACACTGTGAATTAAAAGGGATTTGCCACCTCATAAAAAAAATGCAGGCGATTCCCTTCAAGGGAGACATGTGCCATGAACTTGGCCAGTCAACTCTTTTGGGAGCACATGAAGAAAACTCCAAGGTGGTTTAGGAATTTGGAGCTCACTGTTTGGGTGTAACACAGCTCCAGCTTCAGAAACCCACTCAGTTATATCTTATTCTACTTTTAAAAGGAAACCTGTACTAAAAGGATGTGAAGCATGGCATTGCTAATCTTTTCCCCTGGAAATACTAACTGCTAATGCCCGTCTGTGAATCACTGACCTCAAACAGATATGCAGATTAGCAATATTGACTTTACTCTGACCTTCTGATCTGCATGATAGTTCTAGGTTAGTAACTCAGAAACCAATAAATTAAAAGGTACAGCCAGGCAAATAGTATATTAGATGAAGGTCAGCAACAGCAGCCATTTCCCTCAGGACAGGTTTCCTCTATGTGCCGGTTAAGAAAATTCTGCTGATATAGTTGATCCCTAGATTACAATCATTTTAGGATCAGTAGTAGTAGAAAATATTCAGTGGTGCTTAAATCATTGCCAAATAAATTGAATGTGCTGCCAGTGTAAGAACAATTTTCATATACAGTATATACATATAGTTTTTATACGTTGATGCAGTATTCATCTAGGAGCATTGTGGAATAGTGCATAGTGCGAAACCCATTATCTCTCCAAGATGCTCTCCAACATCTAACTATAAGGAGCATGTTTAGGGTTGGGCATGTTTGAAGGCTAGTCACTGCTGTCTATGAATCAGTGAACTGACATTACAGATGTGTCTCCAGCACACAACATCATATTATTAAAAGGAGTCTGTCACAAGATCCTGGGCAAGCGAAAATTCCCAGATTCTTGTGCCAAGATAGTAAAGTAGAAAGTAAATCGCTAATCATTAAAATGCTAGGGTACGTTCTTGACAGAACAAGTCCAGTTGAATGTGACCAACCTACTACAAGCTATACCGTGATCTAGATAAATGAGAACCTTCACAGACACAAGGTGACAGTTTACAGAAACTTGTCCGGCCATTGTTTTCCCCAAGATAAGAGCTGGAATTGTTGGGTTTACCATTCCTGGTGATCCCAAAAAGCATGTTTTTACCCAAAGCATCCACCAAAGAGCTTTAATGATGATTAAGATACTCTCGTATGTCTGACTGTCTGCATGACTATATGGCCTAAAGATTAGAACACAATCAATCAGACTCTTTCACTTTTAATCATGCAATAGAAAAATATATGTTTTCTGTGTTTGACAAGATAATACATGGCTACCATAGCTCAAAATGTATTGTGTATGGCAACCAACAGAAATTATTTAGCAGCTTTTTAGTAAAGAATTATTTAAGCTGTTCTATGGTTTCTATGGATTTCTGCACCCCCTGATTTTTTGCAACACTCTGAATCAGGGCTGCTGAACTTTTCTAGCACCTCAGCTCTGAATGTTAAATATCAAATTATTTTTAGGATGCCTCAGCAACAGTCCTGCCATCACAAGGGATCCCTGTACTAACACCTCCAAAGGGGAGAGACTCTACATCAGACATGACAGACAAGAAGAGGCCCCCATGGCCGTCGAGCTATACGTGGCTGATGTTTTCTGACCATGCTGAAAAAACCAAGAGGAAAAGACAAGAAGAATCATTAAGAGTGAGATATGCATGTTTACCTTATTGTCTTGGCAGAAATTAGTTTTGCACTGCTGTCTGTATAGTCAAGACTGTCATTTTGCATTCAATTTTATGGCTAGTTTAATTGGCAGAGGATTCTGCATCCCAGTGTCCTGATGAATTGAAGTTCACATTTTATTAATATAATTGTCTTAAGGTAGAACATGAGCACCAGATTTCAACATACATAAGATCATATTATACATAAATAACTGCATATAAAATGTATTAAAAATGAATTAATAGATTTTCAAGTCATCATAATTTGTAAACTCTTCATCTTGTATAGTTTACAAGGGAAGCAATTTGAGTTGGTTAGTCCAGACTTTCTTGTGAGGGATCCCAGGATTTTCAACCTTTTCTAGATTTTCTGGGAGATATCACCTTGCCATTTAGTTTTCATTGAGCCCTAGGCTTCTCCCAGGTAAACATGCCTGGACATCAGGAAAGCCTTCCATATACACTGAGTGGCCAGATTATTATGACCACCTGACATTGGTAGGCAAATTAGCTATAATTTTGCGCTGAAGTTGCTAGACGGCCAGACTATTGTAAATAGGGAAGCAGGTTGTTTATTACGACAGTATACGTGATTGTTTTTCTGAAGATACGGGTAAACAACGTGATTTAACAGCCTTTGAACGTGGGATGATTGTTGGCGCTCGGAGCCATGGAGTGATTATCAGCAAAACAGCAGAATTTGTTAAATGTTCAAGAGCAGCTGTTGTTAAAGTGTTTAAAGACCGGACTGTCAGCCGAAAATCTGGGTCTGAACGTGCGAATTGTGGCCGTCAGCGACTAGTCAATGTTAGGGCAGAACGTAGACAACAGAAGGGCAACAGTGCAGTGTCAGATTCCTCACATCACCTTTCAACATCTCGTGGAGTCACGAGGCGGCCCAACGAAGTCATCTCGTGGAGTCACAAGCCCAACGAAGTCATCTCGTGGCCCAACGAAGTACTGATGGGGTGGTCATAATAATATGGCCACTCAGTGTACAGTATTTCAACAAATGGATCTTTATATAATGGAGCAAGACCTGTACTTCAGGGTCCTTCCAGTTGTTCTACTCTTCACCCCATTACCCAGAGTTACTAACCAAATCTGCAGAGACACCTCATTTACATTGTTTGTACATAAGGTTGTCACCTTCAACCAGCCAGGCTGGTAAAATATGGTCTAGGTGGCAACCCTTCCTTTACCTAGTTACAATTAATCACCATGCATGGCAACAGGGGAACATATGTCTCATCCCAAAAAAAAAATCAGCCCACACTTTCCCCCGGTGGAACAGTACAATTTCTGCAAATTTAAAAAAAATTAAATCTGTTTATCAACTTGGATTCAGATTTTTTCTGGTAAACAGAAACCTCAATGTAATGTTAAACATTCAGTACAGATTAAACTGGCCAGGTACCTATGGCCTTAAAAAAGGACTTTTTACTTTTACCAGCAAATAAAAATGTATTTAATAAGATGGTGTGTCACAAATGGGGAAAAAAAAAAAAGCCACAACATGAACTTGGATACAAAGGAACCAAATACAGAATGTGTGAAAACTGTTCATCTACACTGTGTTTCAGCAACATCACTCAGGCCCAGTTGGTGCGCCAGCACCTCCAAAACATCAGAGTCACCCTGTCAATCACGTGTTGCGGGAGAAGAAGCTGTCGCAGTTTCTGCAGCTGCTGAGTGGTGAGTATGACTTCACAGTATTACTGTATGAGATGTTTCTATTTTCTGGCTGCATTTTTTCTGTTATACCATTTTTATACAAAGGCATTTCTAAGTACTTTGGGACAGATTTGTTGCCTGTTGCATCTGGTGAGATTCCAGTTGTTAAGCTTGCAGGGGGGTTTAAAACATCACCAAATGCGTTAAAGCAACTATGCCACTACATAAAACATCTTAAAGTGCACCCTGTAGAGAAGATTGTGAATACTCACCTGTCCTGCCGCCTGCACTGCCAATCTTCGCTCTGTGACACAGTTATGGTGACTGTAAAAAAACTTCCACATGTGACACCGTAGTTGTTTCAGATGCCTGGTGCACTGTTATGTTTTGTGGTTTCTCCTGCCGCCCCTTACTGCATCCTATAGTAATGTAGGGGCTGGTGGATGGCACCAAAAAGAGCAGAGGGGGGTAAGGCATCTTTTTAGCCACAGTATCTCTGCCACAGAGCAAAGATCAGAGTCTGAACAAGCTTTTACAGTATTCGACACCAGTTGTACCAGATGCCTAAACATATTTTGTTAGCTGGGGTTGCTCATGCCGACTACTCTACTCTACCATGATGAAGGGGGAAGGTAGATTAAGCCAGTGCTCCCCAACCTTTTATCGCCGCGGACCGGTCAACGTTTAATAATTTTACCGTGGCCCGCTGAGG